AGGGAGGGAGGGAGGGAGGGAGAGCGAGTGGGACATGCTTCTCCGTCTCTTTCCACGATGTCGGAAGCAGCTCAGCACCTCCTCGTTGAAGAAAACCATCTCTCGGAATGTCCCAGCCGCCGCCAGCCGATCTCCGCATACCTGGGAATGTGGCACAAGTCATTACGGGTCTTCAACGATCCTTGCGCTGACCCGTGGCACTTGGGAGACATTGCGAGCAAGCCACGGAGTCGTAACCGCCAGCACGTACCGTCTCCTGAAAAGCAAAGCAAGCATCAGTAATCACTCTCGAAAGCGAATCCTGAACTCTGCGCCTGAACATCACCTGGTTGGGACCTGGCCATGCGCTTAGAGCTCAGCGTTCACCCAGTAATCGATGACACTTTCTGTTTTCCGGGATCCCGTGCACGGTGAGGACTTCGCCCATAGCGCAGCGGCAAAGCAGCATAGCACAAAGGCCCAGGTAGACCCCAGCACCTGAGTCCCGGAAGGTTTACTCTGACATTCCGCGAATGCAGCCACGGCCTTCCTTTGCGTACTCGTCGCTCTTGCTAGCCTGGGCAATAGCACAAATGCAGTTGACGAGGCTTCGGTTTCCTTGGCATCACACATTTTCCGCCAAATAGATGCCTGTCAGGCATTCTCGTGACGATGTTTGGCTTCTCCCTTTGCAACCCGTGTCTCGCCGCGCCTCTGCCAAACATGCTGCCAGCGCAGCTGCCCGCACGATCCATCTTGAACAAGTCCCTGCAGTCACGAATCGAGTAGAGCATGGCGGAAGGGTGCGGAAGGAAATGGCTTCCAAGCTTGGTGCCAGCATCTATACAAATCTATGTAATGTTTATTAACGTTCTTGCATCGATTCTCAGTCTGAGCCTGTATAGGCCTCTCTGCGCTTCGGTAAGCCTCCGCTGAGCCCCCACAGGCCTCTACAAAGTCCCTGGGGCTCTGTATACATATGACACTTATGCGAAATTCTGCAAATTCTGCATTGTGGATGCTTCAAGGCACGCAAACATGCTTGTAGAGGCAACTGCTTGGACAGGGCGAGGTTCTACCTGCTAGTGGGGCGAGCTACTTGTAGTGCAAAATACTGTTTTTGCAGGACCACTGCTTGGACTGCATTTTGATGTTTTGGGCTGCGGTTCTGGGTATGCCTGCTAATCGACATCTACCTGTCAACGTTGTCGAACGAGCCCAAATCTAGAGTCAACATCGTATTCCCGGCATCCAACATCGTAAATTTGCATGGGACTACACCCCTGTGACCTTTTCAAATTTATGATTTCGGATATCAATCCTATGCTGAAAACGTGAAGTGCTTAAAGGCGTTGAAGGAGGCTTTAAACACTGAGGTGTTCGAAAGCTCAAGCCGGTATCCTGAAGCTCGCCCGGTCAACCTGGCGATGGACCGAGCCGACTCAGGGTTGGTACCGTGGAACAAGTAGCCTCGCGAGGAGGGTGCGTGAAAGAGTGTACTGAACCGACTCAGAACTCTTCGAGTGCCGGGCGCTCGTTGATTTCATCATCCAACAAGTTGATCCTGTCTGGACGGCATCATGTTCAACAGCGCCAGCTGCACTCCCTTCCGAGCTGCTGCTCACCCCATCTCACTCCTGTCGCTGGTCTGCACACGGAAAGGACAACAGGGGCCCGATCGCTTCATCCGGAGGCCATCCTGCAAGTAATCGGTGTCTTTTTATGGGACTCCTTTGCACACAGTGCCTTGTAATTGGCGTAGCGTGTGAAGGCGCGGTGATTCTCCACACGCAGCACATTCCTGAAAGGAATTCGGCATGACCACTTCTGGTGTGGAGACGAGCACTCGGGATCTGCCATGCAATTCAAACGTGGTCGAGCATGTCGAGCAGCTGTCGAACATACACCAACGACATCGTAAGCAACCATCAAGAGAGCTACGACGAAATCAGTAGTTGAAACTGCGGTTCTGACCGTCTTGTTTCCAGACCCCCCCGTGCACTTGCTCCCCAAGTGATACTTCACAGCTGCTGCCTGAACCTGAACCTTCCTGACCCAATCGTGAACCCTTCGCCCTATACTGTCCCTTTGTTTTTTTCTTCCTTCCCTCCTTGTCGCTCGTTTCACCAATTTCTGTCTGCGGCACCAATCCCTGGCAAAGGGACCAGAAGGCATGAGCCCGCACGACTCCCCTACTGTAGCTGTCCCCAGAAGTCGGCATCGAGGAAAGCGCTGGCTGCAGTGCCTCTGACTTGCTTCGCTTGCTTGTGAGGGGTTTCAGTTTCAATGTCTCAGTCCCTCTATTTTGGCATGGAGTCAAGAAACATGGGACAAGAAAGCTCCAAGCAAGATCCGTACAGAGATTGGCAAAGCGAGTATGGACAAGGAATATGACATGGTAGAGGAATGAGAAAGGCGAACAATTTCACTCCACAATGGCTGGAGTCATCGAGCAGAGCAGGCAGAATGCAAACGCAGTTTCACCAAGAACACCGCTTTGGCCGATAAACGCAACGGAAACGTGCACCATTATGAACATGGGGTTTTGGCAACTTTCTGGGGTTGGGGGGTGGGGATGGGCTAATGACGTCCACTTGGCCACTGTCGTCCTGCGCGTCGTGTCCAGCAGCACCACCACCAACACCACAACCGGCACCGTCCTCTTCACTCTAAATACGTGCTGGAGCGCATTTTATACGTTTGCGGCGTCGCAGCTTCTCAGGTACATTCGGTTATAATGCATGAATGTGGAGCATTGCATGTCTAGTGCCAAGGACAATCTTTTCAGACTTGCATTATCGATGCTCCCTGGTAGAGTGGCGAGCATGGAGGTCCCCTCTGGAAGGTGCTGGTCCCGGTGAGCCGTGCTGGCGGTTTTCCAGTGCACTCATGAGGTGCATGGCCAGTTGGAGTTGCTCCCGGACGAGCGTAGGCATGACTCTGCGAAAGTCTTCCGCCGCGTCGCACAAGAGGAGTGCTGCGCTGCTTTCACACCTGGTTCTAGCTGGTGCTTCTTCCCCCCCATGCGAGAGGCCAATGCAGTCTGATGGGTGAACCATGGTCTCGTCGTCGTTGAGGAAAGCGTCCCCCCTGCGTTCGATGAGCTTATTGGCAGGTGGTACCAGCTGCAGAATTTCTTGCCAGAAATCTGCGCGGTGCCAGTGCAGGCTCCCCCGCATGGCGTGATCGCGGGCGGTATTCAGCATGTGCACCACATGTTGGAGGCGCTGTGTCGCCCCCTGCAGAGAGCTCAACTGCACGTCCCCCGGTAGGGGTTCCAGGAGTTGCAAGGCTCCGCGCTCAACCATGGCTAGGAGAAAGAAAAAGTCTTCCGCTCGTTCCAGTGGAGTGAGGTCCCCGGAGCATGTGCTGCACGGTCCGCGTAGAGGATGACTTCGCGGATTGCGTTGGGGTCCCCCAACGGTCTTTTCCTCCCCCTTGCGTTCCTCTGGTGCCGGCTCTGCTTGGAGCACGATTTGAGCCGCGATGTCTGCTGCTTCTCTGATTACTTGTAGTTACTGTAGTTGTCGGAGTAGAGCGCTGTGGCGGTGCTGTGCGTACGGGTCAGTGCTGCTGGTTGCGCCGCTGTGGGCCTGGAGGCTACGTTGCATGAGTTCGGTATGGTCTCCCCCTGTGTTGGGGCTTTGTACTGGTGCTTTGGGCCCCGGTGAAGGTTTGGGGCGGACTATGTTGCGGCCGTCAGGGACCTGGTCCTACCAAGGCACTGGCGTGGGTGTTTGTGTGCTTGTGCGTTGGGTGGCTTGCCCCGCACAAGGGGCGGCCGTCGCTGAGTCCCTGCGGGTTCCTGGTGTGTGGTAGGGGTGTCCCCCTATGACTGGTCTTGGTTGTCCCCCTGCGCCTGGTGCTGGTCGGTGTCTTCTGGTGTGGTGTCCGCGGCCGCTGCTGCTTCTGCTTGTGTTGTCTGTGGTTGCTGTGGCGGTGCGGGCGGTGCTGGCCGTAGGAAGGTGTCGGGGGTCATGATGATGGTGTATTGTATTGTCCAGGAGGTACGCGTGCGACTAAAGATAAATTGGTCGCCTATGTAGGCAGCGTACGGTCCCCTCCTGGCTCGACGGTCCGCCCCCGAGAAGTGGGCGGATCTCCAAGGAATTCCACCCTGCTCAAGTATTTGCCGCGCAGTTCTCGGTGTGTGTCGTGGGCGGTGGTGTGGGGGATTGGCGGTGGTGCGCTGTTGAGTCCCTACAGCGTGGGTGGCCGTGGTTGTTGCTGTTGTGGCTGCCCCCTGTTGCGGTTGGGCTGTCTGCTGGCTTGTTGTGCGGTGGCGGCTGTGCTCTCTCCCCTGTGGTCTGGGGTTGGTTGTTGTTGTCAGGGTGCCAGTGTGGAATTGCTTTGTCTCCCGGCTGTTGCTGCGGCTGTGGTGGTGGCTGTCGCTGTTCTGGCTGCGTTGGTTTGCGGGCCACAGGAGTTTTGCCCAGTCTGTGGGGGATCGTGTGGAACCTGTCCCTCTTGGCGTGCTGTCGTGTGGCTCGGCTTTGTGTGGTTGCTGGGTTGATTGCCAGGTCTCCCCCCACCTGGTATGGTGAAGGCCTTTGTGGATTTGAGCCACCGCTTGATTTTGTACTTGTTTGCTTTGTTGCGGGTGCGTTGCTCTCCTCCTCCCTCGTGCTTGCGGGGAACCTGTCACGTCCGGGTTGCCCCCCCTCTTCGTCTCGGCTGCCACCCTGTCGTGTGTCCTCTGCTGTGGTAGCCGCCTTGGCCAGCTGGGCGGGCTGTCCGGTTCGGACCCATTGGCAGTGTTCCACCATGGTCATGCCTGGGATTGGCTTGAGGTTGGAGGGTGGTTGTCTGCTCCCCGTTGCAGCCTCCAGGGGCATGTGTGGTAGGTGCTCCTGGTCTCGAAGATTTTTCCTTTTTTTTGGGCTGTAGGTGTCGGTAGGTCTGCTGTTGCCTGTGTGGATGCTTGGGCTCTGTGGTATGTTTCAGGGTGGCAGCTGGTAGTCGTCTTGTGGCGCCGCTGGGTGTGGGTGGTCCTGGCTGGTGGCGGCAGTGGGCTGGCTTGTCTGCTCCCAGTTGGCTGCGGTTGCTTGTGGCATGGCTGGCGGTGCTTGGTCGTGTCGTAAGGTGGCGGGTATCGCCTTCTGGGGAAGCGTCTGTGGGCGGTGGGTTGCTCCTGTGTTGGGAGTTCTCATGGGTCGGTATGTGGGTTGTGAGGGATGGGCCCCCAGCTTTGTACAGTGGGCTGTGGTGGTTGCGTGTGGTGGCCCTGCTGTGAGAGGCCGATGCTGCGGGTTGCGCTGCTGCATCAGAGTGCCAGGTAGGAGGTGGTTGTTGAGGTGGTTGGTATCCCATCGATGACGCTTGCTGCAACGGTGCTGCATGGTGATGTGGTGGCGCTGTGTTGAGTGGAGGTTGTCCCGCCCCGTAGCTGTTGACTGTGCACGGAGGCTGCTGCCGCGTTCTGGTGTGGCGCACTGCCGTAAAAGACGGGTTGCGCTGAGGTGTGTCGTGGTGACCTGTGACCTGCTCCTGTGGCAGCACCGCATTAGCTAGCGGGTCTCCGATTCCCCCACTGCGGTGGCTGCTCTGAGTGCTGGGCCAGCACCTGTCTGGTCGGAGTCTCTGCGTGGTGGTCCGAGTCGTGTGCCCGGCACTGGCGCTTGAGTCAGCGCCTGGTCGGGTCCTAGCGCTCCCCACGTGAGGAGCCCGGAATAGAAGAGGAGAAGAATCCCCCCCTTTGTCATGGCTGTCTTCTTGGATGCTAGCGCAAACTGTGAGCACTGAGCTGCACATGTAACTGGACTGCATGCAAGAAGCTGACAATTGACTGTCTCTCCCTCTCATGTGCAACTTCACTCCCCCCCCTGGTCTCAACCGGCTTGGATTTGGCAGTGACTCCGGTCTGCCGTCACTAGGCTGCTATTTCCCCTCCGGGAGTGGGGTTTCGCCTGCTGTGGGGTATGAGGTTGTCGCGGATGTTGAGCTGCTTGCCTGTTGCCAGCGCCCCGTGTCCTGTGCTACTTGCATCCAGGTTCCCCCCCTGCTTCGATAGCCCTTTCCACATGCCTTCTGGGTTGAAGTGCCCTGCATGAGTAACACGGGTTTTGCGTGGCTTCTGCTGTTCTGCTCTCCAAAATGCTAGGTTCTTCCATGCCACCATCGCCGTCACCTCTCCCTCAGCCCTTGCCATGCGCCCCCACACGTGCCAGATCTTTTTGAGCACGTACGTGCACCAGCGCTCAATCCCCTCCCGTTGCATGTGTAGTCTTGCTTGTCTTAGGGAACGAATGTGCTATGCTGCCCAGGAATCGGTGGCTTGCCTCTGTATGTGAAGCATCTCCCGATATACATGTTTCGCAGGCATACATCCCCGCGTTGCGCACAAGTGTGATGTGTGCTAAGAGCCTGCTCTTCATGCTGGTGCGGGCCAGCAGGATGGCTTTATGTTTGAAGAATGCATTGTGCCTGCGTCTCCCTATCTCTGCTATAGGGAGGGGGGTGCCCCCTTGATAGCAAGGGTTCGCAAAAGAGGTTTTCCAGGCGGCGGGGACGGGGCATCTGGTGGATGGGATCCCCCCCCCACTCGGGCTGCCACGAGCTCAGACGCTGTCGAACGCCTTGTGGATGTCGAGTTTCACAAGCCAGGTGCCAATCCCCCAAGCGCGTGCCCTTTTGGTGACACGTCGCGATGAGTTCCACCGAGTTGCACCCCTTGACTCCCCGCTCGGG